TCATTTGGTGTCATACTTTGGTTAAAATGTGACTGGTTTCCCTAAATATCAGTAACTAGTGGTCGGTGCTTCACAGACTTAACATGAACACATCCATTCTTTTCAAATGTGTCTATCAACGTCCCCTGTGACCTCTGACCCCAGCCAGCTCCCCATACATTATCAAGGACAAACCATCTATTACACATGAAGCACTTCCACTGTTGCAAAATACTATTTCCAGTCAGCTGACGTTTGATTAAAAATTAAATGTTATTCACTGGGGTAGAAGAGCAGATTCAGGCTGCACTCCAGGGCATGATGCAACACTGTGTTCATGTGCGGTCTGAACCGCAGCATCAACCTCTGACATCTACTGTGAGGCGGATCCTTCTTCTTGGAAGGGGAAGTTTAGTCAGAGGATGTAGGTCCACACAGTGTGTTTCTTTGACAGAGCACGTCATCATAAAAGTGCAACGTGTGGGTTTTGTTGCTATTACAACAATAGCTCGACAACATATCACCACTATTGCGGTTGTTTAATAAACTAGTATCTCCCCTTTGCTTTTTATTACTATTGTTTTGACCGTTTTACAATGAACACCAACCAGCATATGCTTACTGGACAGCCAGAGAGCAAGTCGTGTTGTGTTGTTGTGTGTTGCCTCTAGCATTATCCTGCAGGAAGAACCATTAGATGTTAAACAGTGTCCATGACAAGAACATAAAAAACATTCCATCACACCAACAATAGCCGACTGGGCTGTTGACACACAGCAGGTTGGCTCCATTAACTCCAGATTGTGACTCAATCTGCTAGAGCCTCAGCAGAAATCCAGAAACATCAGACCAGGCTTTTTTTTAATTTCAACTGTCCAGTGTAGGTGAGTCTGTGACTTTGCATCCTCACATGTCTGTGCTTGCATGGCAGAAGTGGTAACTGATGTACTTTCTGCTGTTGTAGTCCCTCTATCTCAAGGTTGGACGTGTTGTCGATCCTGAGATGCTTCGAAAGAGTGGTTATCTGAGTAACTGTAGTGCCTGTCATCAGGTTAATGCGGTCACACTGTTGAGATGCGCATCTCCTGCGTGAGTCTCGCTTATTTTCTCCGCGTGGTGGTAAAATTACCTTTACCTCAGTTTCAATATATGTAAAGTAAAGTAAGTAAAAAAAACTAAATATTTGCAACACTTCCTGTACCTGTTTCAAAATGAAAGCACAACATCCATTCATTTGTTTTTACAAGGTTTTTTCATTGTTATTACTGCGGGACGGGGAGGATGCATGGCTTCACACCGTAGAGCTGCAGCCTTTAGTTGAGTACACGGCCGGACTAGTCATCCCAGAAACCTCACATAGCATCTCTGCAGCAGTCGGGCAGCAGAAACGCTCCTTGTATGAACAACATACTCTGCACACGCACACAGTGTGGCCCGCATGTAAGTCAGTGATGAAATTGGTGATTTATAATCCTGTTGTCATGGTTACATCAACAGCAGTTGTTGCTGGTGAACCATTGAACAGAAAAGCAATTCTGCAGCTAGGGCATATAAGAGCAGTGAGGTACTTAAGGAGTCGTAAGTTAATTATCATGTCATCAAACTCTCAGCGCTTCTGTGAGCACTGCTGCTGTTGTATGGATCATTTCTTCTGTTTCAATGTGAACGCTGCTCATCTTATAACCTCATACCCACCACAGTCACATGAGGGGTTTGTCCAGAGAGAAGAACAAGGCTCCTCTTCCTCATCTAACTCTCAGACATTGCTCTACTCTGTCTTTAAATGCTAAATGAGCTGCATTTATGCTCTTTTCAAACCATTCAAAGAACTTTCTTATTCATACCACCCTTATTCTATACACAGTTCATCTCTAACACACACACACACACACACTCTCAAACCACTGTGCAGATTATCAGGGGGAATCTGGGGTTCACTATCCTGCTTGGAAATGGATACCTCCTGAGCCACAGACACTTTATTCCCTCTGTATCTTCTCTGCCATTCATCTTTTGTCCCGTCAATCCTCATTTCCTCCGTGATGAAGACCTCTCAGGCCAGAGACTCCTTCATCCTCCTCCCATCAAGCTCTTCAATAATAAATGGATGCTTCCATTATGAGCTGCCTGGAGCCCCGAATCATAGTCAGTCATGCTCTAGGGAGCAGGAGATGGCCTGTGGATGGCCTGGAACCTTACTGTGCGGCCGGGGGCTCAGGGATTAGACCAGTCGCCTCTAACCAGAAGGTTGGCAGTTCAATCAATCAATCAATCAATCAATTTTATTTGTATAGCCCGTATTCACAAATCACAATTTGTCTCATAGGGCTTAAATCCTAAACCCGGTTCAAACCCAGTCTTCCCCATTCTGAATGCCGTAGTGTCCTTGGGTTGGAATGGATACTGAACCCCAAATTCTTCTCAAAGAGAAAAGTGCTGCACATATATCCACTGTATGTATGGGTACAATGTATGGGTGAATGTAAGACTGAACTGTGAAGCACTTTGAGTGGTCATCAAGACTAGAAAAGCGTTAATGAAATACAGACTGCAGAGAAGTTGAGCTGATGGGCTAATTTATGGGCTTATTTTGAGAAAGTTAGCCTTGTATATTTATCTGTCAATCCAGTGAGACTAGCTTGAGTACCCATGTTGTTGATTTTTTTTGTCCTTCTCATTCCTTTTGTGATATAAAAATGTGTCACTTTTCCAGATTGTATCTAGATGTAGACTTGATTTTAATTCGGTCACATTTAAACCAGGTATTAATGTGCCTCCAGTGTCCACTTTGAGCTCCTGATCTTTTTGTCCAGTCACGTCACTTCCTCCTTTCGTTTATCCTTACATTGTGGTCACAATGTGGGCGATCAGATCACAACCTGTCCTAAATGCATCTTGGGTCTGTTTCTGGCCCAACACCACAAGGGGTCTTTAGAGATTTTAGCCCCCTCGGTTCTATTTCTTTCTTTATGTATACCTACAGATAAAGCACGTGATTGTTGCTTGGCTGTTGTTTCAGCACAATGCACAGCTCTGTTTGTTGAGTATAAAGTGTGTGTGCACCACACGAAACATAGCCGATGCTAGTAGCCCTAGCACACGATGACACAGACTGAGCGAGTTCCACCAGTCGCAGTGGAGGACATTCCTGATCTTTGGCTGCACCGGTCATAGTCAGGTCTTCAGCATTTCTATGCAGGCCCAGTGGGGGACAACAATATGCTATACTAATTGTATCCTTTTTATGATGTAATTACTTGCTCTATTTGGACAAAGTAGCAGTATCCTATTATAGAGCTGTCTCCTAGAGGAACAGTGCTGAAGGAAATGGCTGTTCCTGCTAAAAAAAATTATAAAGCACTTTAAAAAGATGTTATAGAAATCTAAACTGAAGGCGCAAAGAGGACAAAGAAAATAAATACAAAATATTTATGAATATATGAAAAAATACAAACGATCCCATGTGACATGTTGGGCCTGAATCTAACAACAGTGAAAATAAATCAGGACATGTGCTTAGTGCATTGTTCTAAAGGGTTGTATTTAGTCTCATTATTCTTGGGTGTGTTTTGGCAATGTCATATAATAAACCAATCAGAGTGCAATCTCCAATTCCCTTTAAAAGCCAGATGAGCTCAGACCTTGATATATTTTCAAGAATTGGAGAACACTTGCAGAGGAAACTGGTCATCTGTGTAACAAGCACATTGGTTGTACAGCCGCCTATGAAGCATATGCGTATTATACTATCTTGAAATAACTGAAATACTGCACCACTTCAGATGAGCTTTTTCTTTATGCTGTCTGCAACAAAGTAACCAACAATGCTGCTGAGTCACTGACCGCTCCTCATTTTAAGACCAACACGTCCATGGGCACCCAGGTGGGCGCGAGTGCATTTGCTATTTAAACAACAGCGTTGGGTAGAAAACAATAACTGCATTGGTCTGAGTAGTGACCTTGTAGTAAGAGTTTATCTCATGATTTATTTCTAGACTTCATTCTAATTAAATTACCTTATCTCATAAAGTTGAGACTTTCTTCATAATAATACATGACTTCTTCTTCTAATATTCTGAATTTATTCTCCAAATATTCAACATTTTCTTCTGGATTTTGTAACATTTCAACTATATGATATGAAATTCAGTAATAAACCCTTTTCTCTGAATATTTTTTCCTAACAGTGGCTTTCCCATTGTTTCAAACATACCACAAATGTTCCAATAGCATTATAATGTTTTCACTTTAATAAATATCAGGTTCCACTAAATCACATGGACGCATTTCTTGTCAAACATGACACGAGTTAAAAATACATGCCTACTTTGCCAGATTGAGTTGTATTCATAGACTGTATGTAGGGTGTATTAGAATATATGTATAAAATACAACTCAGTATGGTGCTGAATATAGAGACAATACTTTCAGCTGAGGTCAGTGTGTGAAGTAACTTATCAGTCCGTCACCTTCACTTCCACAATCACTCAACCCCTCCCCCTCCCGCCATCATCAGCATGACACCAGTAAACACTTGCAGACGGTGGGACTGTCCCATAGTTAGCCGAGCCTGGCCATGGCTGCCACCATTGGATATTAATAGGGAAGACAATTTATAATTGATGGGGCAGGATTAGTTGGGAGTGCTGGTCCCAGGACTGCATTCTGCTCTCTGCACTGACATGGCGACTACTAACAATACTGGACATGCCTCGATCCCCGCTGCCCACCCCAGTACCCATTATAATAATATATTCAAGGATTTAAGGGTTTTTATCTTAGACGCACATGAATAATGAATAGGCCATTTCAAAATTTAATTGCCCCGAATTAAATGATTCAAGATAATGTTTCTTTTATAAATTTGTAATAGGGCCAGGGGGCAAAAGGGGGGAATACATGAAATAAACCTTTTCCCTCCCAACAAGCAGGAGAGGAAGAATAGATGGGTGACGACCCGGTGGAGAGTACAGCAGCATCTGAAGAGACAACGCTCAAGAACAACACAGACACACAGAAGCTGAGAAATGAGATGAAGTTTAATCTCTGACTTTAAGATGTCGACAGCTTCAGGACAACTTTCCATATCAGCTCGAGTTTTTACTGTACACTCCAAGAGAGAGAGAGAGAAACCCACAACTACTACATACAGTGAGATGGTGAGGAGTCCGCTGGATAGCAGTGTACCTGCCGAGGAGTGTGGTTAAAGCTAGAAGCTCACACACTCATACACACGTTTGTACTTCTATCTTAGTGAGGACACTCGTGGACATAATACATTCCCTAGCCCATTACCCTAACCTTAACCAGCTAAACTAAATGCCTAATTCTAACCCTTAAACCAAGTCTTACCCCTAGAACAGCCCATTGAAAAAGTGAGGACCAAAAATGTTCGCACTTTCCAAAGATGTCCTCACCCTGTAGGGTCTATGCTTAAAATGGTTCTCACAAAGATATAAGTACAGGAACACACACACACACACACACACAAACACACACACAGTGGTACGGAGGTCTTTAGAAAAAGCAGCACAGGTTGGTGAAAGTACATGATTGCATAAAAAAATACAGATTTGTGATGGAAAAGTGACAGTTCAAATGTGATATAAAACAAGAGCATCATGTGGTCACGTACACATCCACGTGAACACAACCTGCAGTCAGGCTGCAGTCAACCTAAGTGTTGTGATCCGATCACAAGTGGACAGCTCTAAATGTGAACGCACTCAGATCAGATAGCGATCCGATCACGCCAGACCAAGGTTGGTCTGGCTATTCTTTAAGCGGCGTGGACACGAATGTGGTCCTGGCCACATTGATGGACCGCCTACTCAACAGAAGTCCTGTGTAAGCGGAAATACGTACATATACGCCCGAGGCATCATTTAAACTGTAGCAATAGGCAACAACAACGATGCGATTTTCTCTGCCATGAATGCATCATCTGTGATATTTTGATTTCTTCTTTTTCTCCTTGCAGCTTCCTGACATGCATTGCATCTTTGAGCGTAAATGATGCACGTGCTAATTTGCATATAGGACGGGGAAGTGAGATTCGACCTGGGATCCGATCACAAGACGATGCCAGGTGTGATCGCACGCACTCAGAGCTGTCCAATTGTGATCGGAACACAAAAACCAATTAATACCAGATGTGTACTGGGCCTTTGTGGCTGATTTTACATTAGCAAGCCAGGGCTCACAGCAGATATGTGTCTGATTTTTGGAAGGTGGAACATGCCGAGTTAAAAGGTTACACAACAAATCAACGGCGGCGTTATCCACATACAGTATAAACCAACCACTATTTCTGAAAACATCATCCAAAAGAGGACAGCAGGGACAGTTCACCTTAATTTCTCCTTAACAATCAGCAGTCTTTTTTTTAGACAAACTGCACATCGGCTTTTGGTGAGTACTTTATATGTATTGTCTGTCTTAGAATTAAATGAGAAGATCATTACCACTCTCACCTGTGTGTTAAGTAAAGAACCGGAACCCAGGAGGTTATTGGCCTCTCATCTGAGCTAAAACGATTATTGGATTTATCTTTTAGTTGGCCAGTCTAGCAGAGCTTCAGACGCACTCTGCAGTGAAAAGAAAACTGACCTCTATCGGTCAGGCCTTTATGGTGGAGATGACAGAAAGACATCACTGACAGCCTGTTAGCAGTGTGTCAAACAGCACTTGAAGGATTCAGAGCACAGGGTCTAAGATTCTAAGATACTGCTCATCACCTGATTAACAACATCTGTAAGGCGAAGCATGTTGGGGGAAGCATCATGCTATTGGGTGGCTTCTCAGCAACAGAGGGAGGGAGACTGGTCAGAACTGAGTGGAAGACGAATGCAGCCAGATACAGAGGTGTGAGGTAAACAGCCCACACTACACGGAAGTGTCTTCAGGACAAGACTTGATTGTCCTCCACTGTCTAGACTTAAACCTCATAGAACATCTGTGGAGAGAACTGGAGATGTCAGTTTACAGACATTTTACATCAATCAAACGTAACGCGGGGCGCATCAGTCATAGAGAATGGGAGAACTGTCCAAATGCAGGTGTGCAAAGCTTGTAGAGACTTAACTAAGACGACTGGAGGCTGTAACTGCTTCCACAAAGTCCTGAATTATGGGCCTGAAGAGTTTAGTAAATGAGCGATTTCAGTTTTTATCATGATGGGTCATGGAGTGTAGATTGACGGGCAAAATATCAGTTTACATCTACAACACAATGAAGTGAAGGTCCTGAATACTTCCTGTAGCCATTGCAGATCTGTCAGGCTCTTTTATCCCTGATCAGTGTATAAAGCAGAGCTGATAACAGCAACCGATCAGTTAGAACAACAGGCTGTGAATCATATTTACTGTTTGTGTGACACATGCACAACAACGAAGAAGGAAAACTGCTAATAGCAGCGCTTATTTCTGATGCAGAGAACTCAACCGACCACTTTCTCCCCTGAATATCCGTGTCCTTCCATGTTCTACACAACCACTCAGCAGATACACGTCAAACTTTTGAACTGAGAAAACATTCACCGATGATGTCGCTGATGACATCATCAAAGTTCACACTCCAGCTTGATGGGCACTGCACTAGTTGACGAGATAAAGGTGAAGGATGCTAAATACAGTATATGTGAGCTGAAGTGTTTCTGCCATGACAGGTGCACAGGTTTAGTGAATGCAACTTCTTACAACATCCCACTGACAATTAGTCCCTAATTAGCCTAGTTCATTTTGAACAGGGCACCAGGATATTGACCGTTTCACCTCAGAGCCACAAGTGATGATTCTTATTCTCTTATCTCTACAGTGAAGTAAATCATGATAATGGTGCTCCACTGTGTTCCTGGTCCAAGTTTGTGAGGCTAAACCTTTCTTTAAACAACACCGTTACATCTTCATTCTAGTGGAAGAAAGACAGTCACTTCTTTCGGGAACAGTAGATTGTCAGAATATAGTGAAGGTACACTAACAAAAAAGAAGTCTCTCCTGAGCTCCTCAACTACATCTCATGCTCTTCATCAGCATTCAGCAGTTTGCTAAATTCTCCCCAAGAGTTGGTTTAGAAATGCACACGTGACCCAGAGTAAATATGAAACTTCCGTGACATGGTAACAAATGGTCATATACAATTGGAGGATGGTAATACGCCGACATTTGACCCTGACTGGATTAGGAAGGTCAAGTCAGGGAGTCAAAGGATGTCTGGAGAAAGACGTGAGGAAATCCAATGCATAGAACTATATTAGCATATACCTCACCTTCATATACAGGTAGGGCACTCTGAGCCCAGATATGCAGGCTACTCAAGTAAAAAATTAGATTCAACACAGTGGGAAGAGTTACGTATTCCACCCGTCATGACCCGCTCAGAGGGCAATGACTGTCAGCTTGACCCATTGCATGCCCTCTTGATCTACCAGTAAGTCGCTAATATAACGTTTTGTTATGAAAATAGAGGACGCTAGCAAGCAAAGCCGTATAATCGGATTGAGATCCTGCGTCGGCTGGGGGGGCTTAATGATAATTATAATCCAAGTGATCAGACTTAAGGAGGCAGCCCCATTATGACCAGTTGTTGTGACTTGGGTCACATGAAGACACCTGAACCAACATGTTCTGATGGAGATGAAATGTGGCCTAAGGCTCAAAGATCAACTCTGTCAAATAGTATGAATCATGTATTGTCAATATAAAAGTGCCACAGTGCTGAATGTGGCTCCACAGTACGGCGAGTAATGATGATTGAAGTGTTTTCAGTAAATGGGGAAAATTGACAGACCTCATGACCACACACACTAAAATACGGTCCAATGTAATAAGTGATTAGAATGAAAGCCTGTGCATCAAATGTGAGTATTTCAGTCAGTATTGGCTTTGTATCAGTGCACAGTTAGTTAGCACTGAGTCCTGTATATGGCTTTCTCAGGGGCAACAACAGTGATCACTGTGTCACACATCAGTTCCTTTTAGTGACATCCACAGATACTCACTCTAACGTGAACTGATTACATTCATAAAGAAACTTTTAAAACAGGAAATAAATCAGGTTTTTAAGAAGGGCTGCAGCTATGTTATTGTTATTCAACCTGAAATTATTTGAAGCAGAGAAAAGAAAACAGAGGCCAATGGTGTTAAATCAGCAGCACACCCCAAAATGCTCCACAGAAAAGGATTGTCAACTCAAAATATAGTGGACACATATGGAGAAAAACTGCAGTAATAAACCAACCACTTCACATGATTACAGAGGTTTTGGTTTTGTGAAAATAACTCCATTTTGTTTTTTTTTCTTTATCTGATGATCTGCTGGGACCTGCACCCCTGCCACAAAAAATGTTTCAATAAAAACCTACATTTTTAATTTAAACACACTGATTTTTGAATGTGAACATGTGCAGAAGGCTGCGAGACACTGGTAGCATCTGAAACAAGTTCTGCAGCAGACAACTAAGAAAAGCCACGCTGGATGACCACACAGTTCTGCTACCTTCTAATGTTGTTTTTTTCAGCTTTGATATTTCTGAGTCATTTTAGAGACACAAAAATAAATAAATAGCATGGGCTGTGGCTGTAGGTGGAATATATTTATTCACTCCTCTCTTTGGGATTCTCTTCAGTTCGGCTGGCACTTTGGTCGGCTATTTCCATTTGGCCTTTCTGGTTTGAAGTTCCAGTGGAGTCCAGAGCTGAATGAACATCTTTGCTGACCCTCTCCAGAGTCTCCTCCTGCACTGGCTCTCCATTTGCCTCCATCCTGTACACCACCTTCTCCCCATTCAGGAGATGACTGTGCTCCTCCACCTGGATCTCCTGGCCTTCCTCCACCTCCTCCAGCTTGCGGAGGATAATTGGAAGCTTTGCGTCTGGTTCAGTATTCTCCAGCAAAGCGATATCGCTTTCTTCATAGTGAGGCAATGGTGCGCCCTCCTCCAGCTTCTTCTGGAAGTGCAGACGTTTAGCTCGTCCGCTTGATGACACCTTCTCCAGGATCTGCTTCTCAGCCAGACGGAGCTGGATGGCCACGCGAGAGTGCAGAGAAAGATCAGGTTTCTCCAGCATGAAGCGGTCCTCCTGTACGAGACCAGGCCAGAAGATAAAAGGAAAGTAAAAGAGAGAGAAAGATGAGAAAAAAAGAAGAATTTCAATTTGATTCCTTAGCTCTTGTTGGATCTTTGAACAGGATTGTACAAACCCCAGAAGGAGGGGTCCTAACATTTTTTTAAAACTACCTGGAATCAAAGAGCTGACAATTAATACCATTGATTGTGGCCTTCAGAAAAGGTATAAAAACTTTTGGCTCTAGACGTGTTCAGACAAAATTTAACCCATATTGATCTAGAAACAGAAAAATCTAATCACAACCTTCAAAATAAGTTCAACTCCCGTCAACTGACCTCTGAGGTGGTCTTGTAGGTCTTGAGCAGCAGAGCAGCTCGGGTCTCCAGGAAAGTCCACAACTTGATCTCATTATCCCAGCTGACAGGGAACTCACTGTTGCCCAGGGTGAAGATCTTATTGACTGCATGGTCTCCGAGCAGGTAGTCCTTTAATTCCTCTGAAATTAAGCTACATGTTAGCCTCTGTTCAAAAGAAACTAAAACCTAGAATAAACAGGACCGGGACACGCTGCCTGCATCACATGTGAATGATGTTCAATATGCGTGTGGAGTGTCTTGGTTTTTATTTTGATGCCCATGTTAACAGGTTCGCCTTTTTTTGAGGTGCACGTTTTGGTAATATGTTAAATAAAACTAACATATATCACTGGTTTCAACATCTCACCTACTGTAAATCTGAATATGTCAGCGACATTTTGACCATTTCAGTATTCATGTGTTATTAAAGGAGAAAGTGGAGGCCACATGTGTACAGTACATTCACAGATGAAACCTGATGTAGGCTTTAATTATGTTACGTTGCATAAGTAATTTTAGTGTGTCCTTACAGTGTGTATGGCTGCGAACAAGAAATAGGAAAACTATTTTGTATCTTTCCTGGGTCTAGGTGGGTTATAACTTCAGATAAAATTATCGAAAGATAAAACAAATGTTCTTCTCACATGACACAAAAAAAGACCTGTGCTTTTATACGTGATCAGTGTTTCTTTGTCCCATCCATTTATCATAGATGTGCAGAGCCATTCATGACCTTCTACACCGTTAGACAGTCTTTATCCAACTGCCTCTCATCTGAACACTTTAACGTGCCTTAGTTACATGGGAAGATGAGAGAGCCCTAGTTGTGTGTGCACACTATTCCATCATGTCGCATCTGTTAGGAGACACACACAGACGCACACGTTGGGACCATTTTAAAGATTAACATGCAGCAAAAAAGTGAATAATATATCAAGCGGGGTCATGAAGATGAGTTGTGTGAAAGAGGAGGATGTGGCCTTGTGTGGTTGGGGATTTATGACACCGGTGCTGTTCTGCATACACGCCGATGAATATTGCAAACTCCCAGTGGATTTCTCCTTCCACACATCTGGTGGCCTGCCTTGATCAATTAAGCAGCTTGGGAATGGACAGGCCTGGTTCTTCCTCTTTCCTTCTCCTCTACCTCCACCCCCTCTATGTCTCTTCCCCTCTGCTGGTGTTGCGGAGGAAGCAGTCACTTGACGATGGTCCCGGAGGAGTGTCAAGATACTGTGGCGGGCTTTGTTTTAGAGTACGCTACCAGGTTTGTAGCTTGGAGGTTCCACAGGGAATGTCCTGCTGCTGACGTGTGTTTGTGTGTGTGTGTGTGTGTGTGTGTGTGTGTGTGCGCGCGCATTTCTGTCAGTGTCTTACCTTCCGTCATGCAGAACACTCTGAGGAAGGCTAGGAGCTGGGCTGAAATGGGGGGCTCATTACAGTGCAGAGCAAAGACACAGGACCTGAAAACAACAGCAAGTTACACATCAATACACACTCCTAAAAACAAAAGGCCAAATATAATATTTAAATAGGTGCACTGTCATGTCATATCATATAAAGCATATTACATCCTGGCATTCTGAACAGACGGCAGCAGAGAATGTGTGAAATGATTTACTTAAACCTCATGTCTGTGATTTATCAATATGGGCTATACAAATAACATTTTATTGATTTATTTATTGGTGTACTTTGTATATTGTTTTCAAAAATCTCTATAAACCACATGAAAAACAATAATGTGACAGGGAAAAAGTAATGTATGAGTGTGATGTCCATTATACATTTATGAATACTGTATTTCAGTGCACAGTTCATTTGGAACAGGGCCATCATTAACGAACATCTCCACTTCGCTCTCACTCATCAGAACCTCTTCAAAACCCTGTAAGAGCAGCAGCTCCTAAGTACACAACCAAAAATTGTCTGGAACCACAAGTAAGTCAACGAAAAGACACAGTCAACAACTTGTATTCACGAGCTGATCATTCACTGGTTTAAAAAATTTGGCCTGTTTGAGAAAAACGAAATTATTATTATGAAATAAAAACAGTCAAAGATACTGTTACGGCACAAGATATGTTATTTTTGTTTCTTAAACCAGTGTATTACTGTAGTTGTTAATGGTGGAGGGTGAAACTACCATATTACCAATAATAATACCAATATTATATAAAAAAGAAATGAGCTTCATCTTATAATAGAAAGTATAAAATGTAAAAGTGAGGCAATATTCTGCTCTGTCGTGTGTGTCTGTGAAAATAAAGCCAGTGTTGCAGTTTGAAGGGCAAAAAATCATTAAATTATACGCCAATCTCTTTTACACGGGACAATATTTGTTCCTGCTTGAGCCAAGCATCGATGTTGCGATGGGAAGCACAGGCTCGACATTATTACACACAAACACATTACTGCCACTGCACTATTACATTAGCCCTCTGTCCAGCTCAGGGAAACGTCTTTGTTGTGTGTGTGTTTAAAAAATTGTTTTCAATGAACCAATGATATTTGTAAAAGAACAGTTCGATGTGTTCACTTATTTCCACTTTTTCAGGGAGTAACACAGTTGAGGTGAAATGAGAAAGGAGTGTGATGATAGCAGCCGCTCCACATCTTGACAAGGCCCTGACACTGAGAGTATTAGTGTTTCCTTTGAAAATGATCTACGAGCATATCTGTCAGTTTAATAGAGCGCCCCGGCAACAATGGGGATTGTTTCATTTAATTTCCACTGTTGAGATTTCGACTGTCATCAATAAGAGATTAAAAGGCGTCTGATTAAAAAATGCCGAACAGAGGATGCTGCATAAAATTAAGAGGCTAATGATAAAATGATTAAACTTCTTGGTGATGAAAGTGTTGGGGCTGATGGGAAGTTGATACTTGGTGGGGAAGGAGGAAAAAAAGAAAAAAAAAGACGTGCTGCAACATTTATATTATGTTTCAATTATGCCGAAGGGGAGGCCTAATTGGTTGAAATATCTATTGTTGGAAGACAAACGTGCATCGTGGTTATATGAAGGATACGTGGAGTTGGTCGTGAGCCTGGAGCTCTCCTTGACCCATATTAAAGACTTCAGAGTAAAACGCTTCAGGCTTAGTTTGCAGGTTCAGTCACTCATTAGAGCTGACACCATCTTTGTGGATAAGAAGAAGGAAGAAGAGGAATGTTTGTCCTTTTCAAATAAAACACTTGAAGAGTGACATAAGGAGGGTTTGGACGTACGCTGGGATGCCGGCTCGTGCCAACACTTCAGCCTTCATGGCGTACAGGCGCTCGCTCTTGCTGACACCCAGCTTGATCTTCACTCGGTCGTGGGCGTTGTCCTGGTAGAAGAAGCCGTTGTGGATGACAAACTCAGCATTGGACCGGGTGCCATAGAAGATGTAGATCTACAAACAGAACATGAAATAAAACAAAAACATATTTATACCAGTTCTCATCGTCTGCAGGGCTGATACTGGTCTGTTGAGAAGAGGGACATTCTCTCTCACACACACACACACACACACACACACAGTATTCAGACACAGTGTTCACTGTATTTGTATGTTTGTCACCTCCCTGGAAAGTCTTTCTGAATAGGCTGGCATAATCTTTACACAAACAGAAAATATCCAAAGTATTTTACATCATTTTAAAGTTGTAATGTGTGAGAGGAGTGAGAGCAGGAGAGTCCAATCCTGAAAACACAATCACCTCAGCCCCTCTGAATCGTCCCTGATCATCCCTCAGTAATGAGAGGAAGGCGACAAGGGACTCTCTCTCTCCTCACTTTGCTAAGCTGCTGACATCAGTAGGACTGATCAGGGACGTGTGTGCAGACTGAGTTGCAGAGAGAGACGGTAAAGTGTGAGCAACAGTAACCTGTTCATTCTCCTTGTAGTCCTGCAGCGCCACACATTCACAGCGGTCATCCTCCAGGTTGTAGCCGGTGGTGATCTGCAGATCAACAATAACCTTTACTCATCAATCCTCACCGCTGCTCAGCAAACACATTTTTATGTTCATCAAAACAACATCTTCCACTCACCAGTGGCCAGGACTGTCTTAACCAGTCTACCAGTGATAAAGACAGTCCTGTGTCTATCTCTTGCAATAGTGAAACTGCTCAAACTGCTTTGCTCATTGTGAGAACTGTTTGGTTTCTGTATAATTTATAAGTTCTCGACCTGAATATGTAAAGTGCCTTGAGATAATGTATTTTATGATTAGCCCGCTATAAAAATACAATCGAATTGGAAGTACTGAAACATGTACATGTATCACAATACAGGGATAAAGTGTCCAGAGGTTTAACAGCCTTAAAGCCTTGTTTGTAACCATAGCGACTGTCAAAAAAACTTCCATCAGTATAAAATAATGTGTGTGTGTGTATGTGTGTGTGTTTACCAGTCCATTTGTGTGGTTACACATGTCCCACAGGGGGATGAGAGCCAGAGTGACGCGGCTCCCGTCCTCAGTCGGGATCTGGTTTTGACGGGTCATCACTGAAGACACCGCCCACCTGTCACATACATCAACTTATCACTGCTCAGTACTGTGGCGTTTCTTTACTCCACTGGCAGGGATCATGTGATCAGCGTGAGAGGGGGAGTTTTATCAAATCAACTCTGGTATTACCATGTAGAGAGAAGGCTTGCATCAGATGAGGAGGGAGAGAGATGGAGTGAGAGCAGAGGAGGTAAAGTTCGAGGGTTCGCTCACATGATTATTCTGCTATTATTACAACTGGACTTACTGAGATCTGGGAACAATCAGACAGGCCTCGAAACCATCCTTGGTGAGTGTCATCGTGTACCACTACTGATGATAACCATACTTTTTTTCAAAGTAGTAACTGATATGTTAATTATACATATCCTATAATATACATATGCAATAATATCATGGAAATAATCCAGTGCCTTCAATCCTTTCTAAGTTAGTAGTAGTTTCTACCACATGCGCTGTGCAAATCTCCTCTCTGCCCCTCTCCTTGCCCGACCACTCACATGGAATTAGGGCGGAAAGTCTTATTTAAAACCATAAAAAACAAAAAAGAAAACACACACGTATATATATATATGTATATATATAATATCTTTGGAGCAGGAAGCCCCCCAATCATCATAAATGTACTTCTACATGTAACAGCACCACTTCCATTCCTCTGTATTATCAGCATGATTAGGCAAACCTGGAGCCATGATTACAATAAAGTAACAAACTTAACCTTTTAAATAATGTTACTTTCATTCTTTTCACTCATGAACAAATGTAAAGTTTTACAGGTCTGTTATCACAGCACTGTGGCAGGATTATCATTTGCAATTTGCTAAAAAACTGAATTGACATTTGGTTTTGTCAGTCATCACTTATTATCACAAAGGTCAGTCTGTCAATCAGAGAGGAAGGGGGGCTCTGACAAAGTAGCTCAACTATCACAACCTGCCCAGAACTACTTATACTGGGCCAGTTCAAGAAAAAGGAGCCATTAATAATTAATATACAACTAGTATATTTTACCACCACCATGGACAACCTATCAGACATGATCCGTGATCTGTATGGTCCTCTAATGACATTCCCCACAGTAACTGTGATGCATGACTGTAATGTAAAGCGTTTTTAATGGTTATGAAGACTAGAAAAAGTGCTACGTAAATACAGACCATTTACCATATATTTTATTTACTCTATCTATGCTGACTGGTCAGTGCAGCTGCTGTGGACCCCGCTTGCAGTTACATTATGAACCCTGCTGCTCCTGCAGGTAATAATCCAGCTCTTCATCTAAACCAGCTCCAGTCTAGGTTTTTCATGGACTTATGTCTGTAAATGGTCAGATTGATGCAGTCTAATTGACTCCATTTAGGAAATGTCCCTGTGGTTCCAGATCTTAACAAAACACCTCATCAGAAAAGGTGTGCATCTTCACTAGTCTCCCGATTCAATTACGATTCAGCAGTCAACGATCAATTCAAAGCAATGCATCGATGCATCTTGATGCATTTCAATGTATCATATCCACAATTTTCTATATTACTTTTTGTATTTAGAAATTGTTATTACAATTGTGCTGTAAATTACAAAATAAGGTGTGCTCACCACTGTTGTTCTTCATACACATGTATTTAGTTATTAATCAATGATGTCGTCATGACTCCGGATTGTTCCGTCACTTTAACCCTGATGTCCTGTCTGTGCGCATCACGTTACATCTTGTGTTTGTAGCAGGTTTAAACATGTGTCTCATAAACTCTAGAGTGTATGAAACAAATGCAAAGAAAACCTCAGACCTGAACATGTCCTAATAACTTGTGAACAGTGACTCAGACACAGGACCACCGGACCTTTAATGTGCATCTGTCCTGAAGTAGCACTGGTTATCATTATGCAGTGGCAGGACATGGCTAAAACAATGAACGTAGCAGAAAACATGAATCCATTATGTTCTGACTCTGCATCGATGCAGAGTCGTCCATGTCTGCATTGCAATGCATCTGAGAATCGAGAAATTTCATTACCTCTACAGAAAACTGTGACAATATAAACCAGGCATCTGTACTAAACCAAATTGATTCCTCTGCATTTGTTCCAGTTAAATGAGCAATACAGAAAACAGGCCCCATCCAACACACAGACACACACACTGACCTGTAGTCATCAAATGTGAAGCTGTCCTTCAGGGCCAGTTTGCTGGCTGCAGGGTGAGTCTGGGGATGGAGGGAAGAAGTTGGATGAAAGGAACAAGGGAGAGGGAGAGAAAAAACAAATTAGTGAGAGGAATTTCTTTATGCAGGTATGCTTGGGGGTGGGGGTGAGCTGCCTGGCAGGGATGCCTAACAAGAAGGACTGGGAGTAGGGGGCCACCGCTGGGGTGTGTGCGCACATGTGTGTATATGTGTGTGGTCCGTTAGTGCAGTGTGACACTCGCTCCCCCCCATACATCACTGTCAACTTAATTTGTTGTGGCCAGCAGCCATCATAAATCTGCCTCATCAATTTGGGCCTGAAACTGTGTGTGTGTGTGTGTGCGTGTGTGTGTGTGTGTGTGTGTCCAAAGATACCACTGCTACCTAACACAGCCATTTCAAAAGTGTCTTGAAAGAGAGGAAGAAAGAGAGCGAGACTCTGAGACCCTCAGTAGGTTGCCTTTGCTTGTTTGCACTGAACCACAGACCACAAGTGTGTGGTTTTAGAGAGCATCCTGGCATTCTGGAGTCAGAAACGTGTTGATGATGACTTGTAACACAGCAGCACCTGTCCCACCATTCGACTTGGCTCAGTGACTACCTCTGCTTCCAGTATTAAGGTGGAATAATAGTGTTTGTGCCTTTGATACTGAATGGCTATGCAAAAAAATAAAATAAGGCACAGCATTGAGCAGGCTGTGTAAGAAAGTGACTACAACAACAATGAGCTCCTGACAATAGTTTTAGGTAAGAAACTGATATCAGATACATGATATGATAAATAAGTCCCTAAAGGTCATCTCTAAACCTTAAGATAACTACATACTAAAGCTTGCCTTCCAACTAAAAGCATGACTCTGCCTCAGTGGACTAAACTAAAAACAAAATACATTTTCATACTATACCACCTCCATGTTAGTGGATTTGACAAGGACCAAAGTAAAAAGTCAAAGTACACATCCAGGGAAAGGCTCTTCCACCCATGACCTTACTGTTACCATTGACAACTCTGTGGTAGCCGCCACCCAGACCACTAGGAACCTGGGTGTGACACTCGACAGTCAACTCTCCTTTACTGCCAACATTACTGCAACAACCCACTCATGCAGATACATGCTGCTCAACATCAGGAGAATACATCCCCTTCTCATTCAGAAGGCAGCACAGGTTCTGGTCGAGGATCTTGTCATCTTAGGCCTAGACTACTGCAACTCCCTCATGGCTGGTCTTCCTGCTTAGTGCCATCTGACCTCTGCAGCGCATCCAGAATGCAGCAGCCTGACTGGTCTTTAACCTACCTAAGTTCACTCACACTACTCCACTCCCTTCACTGGTTACCAGTGGCTGCCCACATCTGTTTCAAAACACTACTACTAAAAGAGAGTCAGAAAGTCTACATATCTTCTGCCACAGACTAAAGACACATCTCTTCCGGCTACACTTTGGTTTAGTTGCACTTACATGTATCACTTGTGGTTTGGCTTTTATGAAGCAAATTGTACTTACATGATTCTTGCTGTTCTGGGTTTGTACCCTCATGGTTGAATGTGCTTATTGTAAGTCGCTTTGGATAAAAGCATTAGCTAAATGAAACGTAAGATAACTGTTTCTCAAAGAGGATTTCTGTCATTTTAGGTAGTTCCTATTACACTGATGTATGTTCAAGTGTTGATGTTTGGTTGTAATTAGTGATTTGATGATTAAAAAAACTGTGTGAATTGCCATGATTCACAACTGAGACTGGTTGAGCATATGTATCGATGGGACCTTAATACTGTGGCTTCATCCCCACTAAACTCTTCCTTCTACAAAACTCTGGCTTCGAATGACATCATTGGAACAAAATGGCAGCGTGCTTCATTTCTCGATAGTGGAAGGAAGTGGAGTGGCCCATGCCCATCTTCAGAAAATGTCTAATCGTTGTTGCCTAGGGAATTACAAGGTATGTAACTGGTGCACGGACATTTCATGTCTTGGAATTCTGAGGAGACACATTCCCTGAAATGTATCTATCATTTAAAGTAAAGCTGACGTTTGTTTACCTTCATTTACGTAATAATACATACTCAATATCAAATATAAAACAACAGAAACCTGGACATTAGGTACATTTCACAATTCTTGGTATAATATGCACATTTTTGTAAATGATGGGCTAGAAACAGTGCTATGGTCTTTTAACTTCTTAAACACAACATTGCCACGCTGCTACCTGCATCCAGAACTTCTCACACACAGACACACACACACACACACACCTCAGGGTAAAATAGAGTGGTCACATCATATTTCACCTCTGGAGGTGAATGGTAGCTATGTTTGTATGTAGAAGTGTGTTACTAAAGCGTGTCCAGAGGTGACACTGATTCATCTTTACAGGTGAGTGTGGAGGATCATGCTTGTCAAGTTAAACAAAGTGACCAGGCTTGTATCTCTCTGTCTCTCTCTCACACTCTCACTCTCTCACACACACACACACACATCTCAGAGAAACAATTATCTTTGCTGTTTGACACTCCCATCAGAGGTGTAGGGTCACTGTCGTGGACACCCAACACCCACACATACACTTTTCTCATCACTACTCACCAGTCAAATCTGACAAAAACACCAAAAGGTTTTAAGACTGTTTTTCCACAGGTTACACTGCAAGGTTTCAATAACATCAGTGCAATAACATGATTGGCCTGATTTGTTTCCTGTTCAGCTGTCACAAAGCACACCATTGCTTTATTTTTATTTATTTTCTTTTTTTGGAGGGGGAGGGGCTTCATTTGTGGTTTGTCTGTCTCTTACATCATCCGTGGCTACTCTCTATAATGTGACTAATAATAATGTGAATGAACTAGTTCAAAGTTCAGTTCATACAGATGAAAATTAACTAGTTCAATTTCAGAGTAAATCTTTTAAAATTTTGAACTAAGTTCACGGTTCCTAAAATGAACTAGTTTACGCTAATTTGTTATTTTTATTGGGGTGATTTAGATGACAAACTTACGATCATGTGTTTAGTTATTAATCAATGGTGTGGGATCATGAATCCGTGTCACTTTAACACTGAGTCCTGCTGTTCATTTCATGTCTCGTGTTGGAGCACAAAATGTTGACGAGTCATTTTTCAGGATGTTTAAATGCAGCCTCATAAACTCTGGAGCAAATCACACAAACACAAACTGCATGTACTGATCAGGTCCGAATAACTGATGAGTGTTTATTAGTTAAAGTGAGAGCAGGTCAAAGAGGAGGAGGACACAGAAACTCCAGTACGGTACAAACCAACCTTCTGATCCTTGAGCAGCTCTGACTATAGAGAAACTCTGTATTACTCTGTGTGTGTGTGTCGCTCTGAGCGAGTGAGTGGGGGCGGGGGCAGGGCGTGTGTGTGTGTCTGGGAGCACACACACACACACACAAAAATTATAACTGCTACTGCTTCAGGATCAGGACAGAAGCACATTAGACCCGGTCGGCTGTTACCATGCTGGAGTATACGTTTAGGACCCTCCATCACCACTGCCCCACAGACATGCCCTCACATTGCAATTACATCCTGCACCACCCCTTACCTAAATCATGCACCTGAATTTGTTGCTGTTGTAAACACATCTGAGCAGAGAATCTCCTAATGCACTGTGCATGTCTCTGGAGAACATCTGCATGTCCTCCACAAGTCATGTTCGGAAGAATTAGATAAAATGATGAAGGGATGGCGAGATGGACAGAAGGACGAACGGAACAAACCGTTCACGGTACAGAGATATAGAAATGTCAATTCAATCCTTTGAAAAGTAAATCTACATTGCAATTAAGTGTTAAGTGAAAGGGTCTGAATACTTTCTGAAGCCATGGTAGATCAATGTGAGTGGCTGATTTCTCACACATACACGACAGACAGAGGACAGGGAGGAGGTGAGACAGAGTGAGATAGACACAGACAGACACACATACACATACAGACAGACAGAGAGCGAGCGTGCGAGAGAGAGGAGAGGTTTTTGAGGAAGGTACATTCAGGTCAATTCAATTCAAAGCCAATGTGACAAGCTAATTTTCCAGCCCGGTCATCTGAGGAGGAAGAGGAGGAGGAGGAGGAGGGACACAGGGACAGAGTGAGGGGGCTACACGAGAAGTGTGTGTGTGTGTGTGTGTGTGT